TACCTACGTACCTACCTACCTACCGACCTACCTACCTACCTACCTACCTACCTACCTACCTACCTACCTACCTACCTACCTACCTACCAGCCTAGCTAGCTAGCTAGCTGGCTCTGCGTGTCTGTCTCTGTCTCGGTCTCTCTTTGTCTGTCTGTCTGCCTGTCTGCGTAGGTATATATGTTTATAGATACACGCAAATACGTATATTAATGTATATGTATATACTTATATACTGGTATACATAAGAGATCAGACATATGTATATATATATATATATGTATGCATATGTATTCTTGAAAGCAAGATCAAAGAGCCCAGGCTGAGCAGCAACGAGTGCCTTCAACTGTCGTTTCCTGTTGCAAGGATGGCAACAATCCCGATGCCTACGCAGAGGCTGTTCAGGAGACTGCAGACGCTGTGCAAGGCAGCGCAAGAGAGCCAAGCAGCAACATCACGAAAACCGCAGAAGGCTCACAGTGGATGTCTGCATATGTCTGCCTGTGGTGCGGCCATGCCAGGCCAGCACAGTGACACGTGCGCAGCTATTGCAGTAGTGGCCAGGCATTCAAGTGACCGACCGGGACAAGAAGGCGGGGCTATCGGGAAGAGGGAGTCTGGCAGGACCCTATCTAGAATCAGTCTAGAATTCCGGAGCACTTGAGCTGCACACTGCCCTGGGCATTCGTCGAGGACACAGATGCCTTGGCAAAGCTCAAAGCGTGTGCACCTCAGAACAGGACGCAGAAGCTGCACATGCGGAGGGACTCGGCGGGAGCAATAGCCTTTGGATCTTGGATCGAAGCCACTGGGTGCAGGGTTTACAGCGTTTTCTGCTACTGCTACCCTCGCCCAAAGGTACCAGGAGATGGTTCGAGAGGACCCCGAGGCTGCACTGGACAAGTTCGGTTCGGAGCTCGGCCTCGGGGTCTCATCTAAACAAATCAGCACATACACAGCAAGTCTCAGGTTTAGGGTTTAGGGTAGCACTGCTGCCGTGGAGAACTTCTCACATAGGGGAAGCAGTGTGGGTGTTGATGCATGCCCTGGTTTTTGGAAGCAGTCTCAGGTGCCAGTTTCGCATCCGAGTGGGTTGAGGAGCACTCAGTGAAGGACACCTGCCACACACCCTCTCCCCCTTTTCTTCGTGCTAGGTCTCCAGGTCTGCGAAATCCGGGACTCGCTTGGGCAGAACCTTGTCAGGATCCAGTCTTCGCTCGCTTCCAACGCTTCCACGAGGAAAATAAGAGTCACGCAAAGACCTCGGAGACGACTTGTCATGACTTATCCCAAAGTCGGCAGGTATGCATAGGTAGCCTTGTGTCGTTGAGCGTTCCGCCTTGGTTGGCCGACATGTGTCAGAGTTCTGTGCAGCCGGTCTCGTGCAGGTCCTGCGCTACCACCTGCAGGGTGTTCCGAGATGGTGCGAACCCGAGACCGCATGCCCAGCTTCACACGATCGCCCGGGTTCCTTAGCTTAGACCGTCTACTCTTTAGTTCTGGCTCTCCGAGAGGAGGTGGCAGCCTGGTACCACTGAAATGCTTGTTTCGCTGTTGCCGGCCTGGCTCCATCTTAGGTTCTGCAGACACCGGCAGCTGGAAGGTGAAGCTCCCATATGCCACTGCGGCGGCTCACGCATCTTTGAGTGCCAGGCGAGAAGTAGTCACTACATCATCGCTACGGTCCCGAAACCCTATAAACCCTAAACCCTGTAGTGCGATGTCGTGGGCCCTGGCAGGTTCAGCCAATGATCATCTCCTTGCTGGCAGGTCCACTCGCTGCAATTCTTCTGCGGAGCTGAATATGGGTAGTTCTCTAAATGAGGCCCAAGGAAGCCTTCTTGGAAGAACATCGGGACATACTTGATCAATCGGTCCCCGTGCAGGTATGATAACCCGACACCAGGACAATATGGCACACCATGTGTATACTTGACATGCAATTGACTTGATACAACGTTCGCTGCAAACGACGATTTCCGTTTCCTTCGTGAGCATGTCGAAGCACTCCCTCGCAACATTCAGTACACGCGCGGAATCCTGTCAGCACTCTTGTCAGCATCCATTTACAATGGATTCCGATTTGCTGCAGCAGGTCTTAAGTACAACAACTCATGCCCACATTTTTTCAGGAGGAGTCACAACGCCATATGTTTTGCGATTGCGAAGCAATGCAAGAACATCGCCGTCCCCGAGGAGATGAGCCTCTATTATCGTGGGTCTCGGGGATTTTCTTCGAGCCTCCGGAGTTCCGCACAGACTTTCCGTCGACGGGCGAAACTTGGAAACCACCTCCGATTGAAGAGTGCTGGCGCCCACATTCTGAAGTTTTTTTGGGGTGGGTTCCTATACGTGCGGGGGTCCTCCGCTATTACCGTTCCAAGGCTCTTCGAATACTCGGTAGCTGCGCAGGGAGCATCTGTAAACTACACATGACAGCCGGGGATGTTGTTATTGCCTCTGGCTGCGCTAGTCTTCTCCGTCGTGCAAAATTTTTACAGAGTCAAAATTTCTTGTGGGACTGCACCTATCAGTTCGAGAACTCGAGAACCCCGACTTATGGGAGATGTTCCTAGATGTAGCTGCCCAGTATTCACAGCTGGGAATAAGGACCCTGATGCTTTGGCCAAAGCACGGGCCAAAGCTTTACCCTCCAAACTCATCGTCAAAATTCAGCTTTTCCTTCAGAGGGCGGTTGCCGTCCAGGCGCATCTTATTGCGACTCCCGTCAACCATACCAATGCCTGCCAGACGTCGCTTACCCACCAAGAGCGCAGGATCTGTTACAAGTCATGTCACCCGCATGGGCACTCGGTACTTGTAGGTGACGTCCAGAGTAAAATACATACTTCAATACTATGAATTTCATACTTTACCCCCAGACGCTCTGTTTGAGCTCCTACGCCAAAAATGCTTGAGTTTCTTGAAGAGCCTTCAGCCTGAAGGCGCTATTTTCTCAGGTTGGCAAGGGCTTAGTGTTGTCTTTGTTCGTACTTGTAAAAGATTTATTCTCTTGGCAGCTGCCCAAGCTCTTGCCAGTTTCCTGAATGACCCTATTTGGGCTTTCAGCAGTAGGCCTCAAGGACCACGCACATCGTGGTTACAAGTCGTTGTCGACTTTGTTGCCACGTATGGTTTCTTTTCAAGGTTCCTGTCACCGGGCATGACCGCTCGAATCTTAGTTTCCCGTTCCCGGTCGTACTTCTTCAGATTTCATTCAGGTGTATCCTGTGACTCATGTCAAGACTGCTGCGGCATTGGGTATGACCATTTTGAGTGGTTTCTCTGGGTCCAAGAAATGCCATCATATCCACCATCAGCTTTACACGTTGCATCAAAGGGCGTTGGACAACAGCAGCAACGGCACCACATGGATACCGCAGTTCCACGAAGTTAGAGCATTCCGCCTTATTAGTTTCCTTGTTGCATCAATTAAACTCACCTGAAACGGTTTGTATTGTCTTCAGTCGACAGGTCGCGGCCTCAGACGCAACGTGCACCAAAAAGATACGGTCCCTTTTAGGGTCCTTTTTATGAAAGTGCCGTACTATATTGGGGAGTTAAAATAGCGAACTACCCATGTGGATAGTATATACAAGTAAGCCGCAAGTACCCAAACATATGCGTACATATATGTACATGTGCACGTGCATCCATGCATGCATAAAAAGACGTGCATGCGGGCGCAACTCGATTAAGACAGAACTTGCCTGCAGGCCGAGGTCGGACAGCAGACTGGAAATTTGCAAGCAAATACCGACCCCAAATGCGGCAATGGTCCGCGAAGACAGAAAATCATGTGTGATCATAGACGGACCTGCCGCGAAGATGGAGAGAAACCCCGGCGAAGGAAGCCCATGCGGCATGCGGGAACCTGCGGTCAAGCCGGAAGTCCTTTAATTGCAGCGACATAAGTCTTGCGCGAGGACGGTGCGTTATGGAGATTACCTATGCTCCCATCATTCCCCATCAGCAAAATTCCGCAAATATATTGCATACTAAGCACGCTCACTTGTGTCTGTACGTGTGTGTGTATATATATGGGGGCTGTCCTAAAAC